CCTTTATACTTCCCAGTAAGAAATGTCCCATCAACAACCATGACGCCTGGACAATACTTGAATCCATCTATACAAGGACCATAAGCCCAAAATACTCGCTAAAATATCGAATGACCTGGTTGAGTCGAAGGAACTCTTACCCAATCAATCACCGATGTTGGCATTTTTCTCTTGACCACCCGCAAGAATGTCTGCAAAAAATCATAGGATTCTTCCCAATTTCCATGCAACTTCTCCAATGCTCTTTGTTTCCCATACCAAGCCTTCTTGTAAGTAACTTGCATATTAAACTTATCTTTCAACTCGGCTTGCACAGTTAGAACACTCAGATTTGGTTGGGCACGTACCAAATGTTTGACGGCCTCAGATATCACGTCGACATCAAGATGGCGATGATCCGTCGGTTGAGTCGTACTGCTACAAGTATGCACCAACTCGACCTTTCTCACGCTCCAATCGCCTCCCACATCTCGACATCCAAACCGCACCATCCAAGGACATTTGTCCTCCTTGTGCATCAAACATCTGATCTTCCAGATTGAAGGTGACGACTCCACCACGTTATACTGAAAGTTGCGTTGTAGTGCATAGTGCTTAATCGCCACCTGTGCAGCTTGTTTCGAGTGAAATATCTGCCCCTTGTAGAATTCTCCATCAAAACCACCAACAGTAGACCCTGGAATTACGCCATATGAATCAGCATATGATAATTCCTCGTCCTCTTCATTACCCTGCAAGTAAAAATATGGAGGATAATTAGGTAGTTCTCCTCCCTCCCCGTCGTCGTCGTCCTCCTCCTCCTCCTCATCTTCCTCCTCTTCGTCATCATCGTCATCAAAGGCAGGATCGGATGGCACGCTCCATGTATCATCACCGTCATCATCGTCTTCCTCTCCATCCCGATCCTCACTGAGCTCAGCATGTATCTCAGCACCCAAACAATAAGAATTTTGTGCCATAAAATTCCAAAGCACATTTAAGCTATCATCATCGACAATAGGCATTGCATGATGAAATAAAACACCATTCTGCCATTCTGGAAGACAGTAGGTGAAACCTGTAATCACAACACTATCTTGTACTGTTTCGTCTCTAATCCGTATTCTCCGAATTAGATGATCACAAAGTTTCTGATAGTTCACCCTGGATGGAATAGTCATCTGGAAACTTAAACCACCAACAAAATGGACACCCAAATTGTCTTCTACTTTCTCTGATCGCCACCGAACAGCTAGTTCAAATCTCCTAAAACCACTACATTAAAAACAAACTCTAATTACTAATTGGACAAAATCATTATGATGAATACATGAAAAAAAAAATTACGACTCTTACCTGTTATTAGCCATCTTCCCAGCAACCAGACAGCAACACCAGAGCTTCTCTCAGAACTTCTTTCAGTTTTTTGGTGATGAAGTACCGAAGGAAAGGTGCAGTATATATATGGAATGGGTGGTGCTGGAGTGGGAAAAAATGGCAGCGACGAAGCCCCAGTCTGGGGCGCCGATGCTTTTTCTTTCTCAAAAGCGCCAAAGCCCCAGTCCGGGGCGCCGGCGCCGAGTTTTTTTTTTTAAAAAGCACCTAGCGCCGGCGCCCCGGACTGGAGCTTCGGCGCTTTCAACATATCAAAAAACACAATATTCCTGTAAATAGTTTTAAAACCACTATATTCGTGGTAAATTAAAAAAAAAAAACAATATTCCTGAAGATTTTCTTGGTTCCAAGGGAATGATGCCAGGCAACAAAGGCCCATCATTGAACGCAAGGAGTTTGAGATCTGGTGGTGGTCCACGATACAACAGATCTTTTGATGTTCATATGGAGTCCAGGTTAGGAACACCATCTGAAGATGCCGAGAACAACTCAAGTATAATCTCCAGAAATGGGAATTACCGGCCTTTTAATAACCCCCCAATGGAGAATAATCCTCTGGAGAATTATGGTCAACAATCAGGTGAAAGGTCGAGGGAGTCCTTGCAGTATGGTGGTAAAAGGCTTTTTGGAAAAAGAGACTCGTAATTTAAACAGCACAATTTGTCATCTCTTCAGTTCAACCTTGGACTGTTTGCACTCCATGCAGCCAGCAATATCTGAGGCCCCAAGGACAAGGCGGCTGGTTCTTTCTCGTGGCATTATTAATCTGTAGAGCAAGAGCCTTGGCGGGGATTTGGATACAACTTTACACAATGGATAATGCAAGGAGCTAGCATGCAACATTTTCTGCTGCCAGTTTGACTGCGTTTCACTCTCCATGTGCTGGCGCATTACTTCGGGGTAGTCCTCCAGACGTCCCTCTAATTAATCCTACTTAATAGTAGTAGGGAAGGTGGAGATCTATCATATGCAGTGGCATGTGAGTTGGAGGAGGCAGCAATTGGAACACAACCCCTAGGCGACGTTTTTGTGCTTGGTGATGTGCTGATCGATTGTGGGAGGCAGGGGGGCCTGCTATTGTGTTTATTTTTTTGTTTTTGTTTTAGCCTCTGTAGCTCTCTTGTCCTGAAGGTGCTGCCACCTTGCCAGCATGAAATGTTTAAAAGACGGCCTACAATTTCTGTGCTGAGAATGAGAGAGACATATCAGTACATAGGCTGACATCTGAAAGCTTGAAGGGTTAAGCTAAGATCTTTCTTTCTTCCTTACCATCACTGGCTTTGTTCAGTGGAGAGGAAAGGAGGGAGAAAAAAATTGTATGGGACTTGGAAAGTTGTGTATAGAGAAGCAGAGAGGGGAAGTACAGAAATGGTGTAAACAGCATCTCACTGAAACTGAAGGCTCGATGCATTTTGTTAGTTCAACCTACTTGTATATACTTTCAGGGTGCAATTTGACGATTCTTTCTTTTTGTCACGTGGCATTTATCTTTTGAATTACATAGTGCAAAAATGGTTCTTAGTAGTGGTGATTGGTTTTTAATATTATTCAAGTTCGCGATTGGAAGTTAGTTTTGCCCATTCGATAATGTTTGGTAAAGCTGTTTCTTCTGCAGGAAGTAGCTACAGCAGGAAAAGAACCAGGTACCTCGTTTACGTTTGCAAATTCTTTTACTGACCAAATCGAGAATTCATTTCATTGTAAAATGAGTTATCGTGTAGAATTCATTGTCAAGTGAAATTGGTATGTTATATTCAAATATTTAGAAATAAAATGAAGTGTCGTATAGAATTCATTGTCAAATGAATTCATATGTTTGGTATGTCATATGTATAAGTAATTTAGTTAATAAAAGAGGATAATCACGTCATTCTATTATAATTAGTAAATACTTGTGGAATTCATTTGGAAATTTTATCTCAATTCCTCAGAATTGCTATAACTGGTTCCAATTCCGTAGAATTCAAAATTAAGAATTGAGAATGAATTTTTTTTAATACCAAACACAAAAATATTTCATTTCAAATTGAATTTCTCAAAATGTATGGAATTCATTTATACCAAACGGTATGTTAAAGTACCACTACTTTTGGCCTATAACGAACTTAATACTAAAAACAAAACTCCATCAAAGTGCCAAATAATTAAGCAACAACAAAAATATCCAAACTCATAAATAAATGTTCATAATCCCAAAACAAATAGAAGCCGAGTAGACTCAGTTTCTATAATCCCATCACCCTCTAGAGCAACCTTGCCATCAAGGTTCAATCTGTGCATCCTCGTTCATTTTGCTTTCCTTGACTGCAAGCTCCTCGGTCTCATCCTCCCAGCTTCCTACGAGCAGCATTAGGTGGACATTGGCGCATAGGTGTCCGACCGTGTATCTTTTGTTGACGTTAAAGCAACGACCGTCTTTGAGCATCTGCTTCGTCTTTGTCGTCGTAAGTCTCATGAAACCCCTTGATGGTATGTGGGGCACAGGTGGAGCCTCTACTGGCGCGACTAGTGCAACGGAGGCAGCGAATGGGGGCATGTGGGCAGTAGCTCATGGTGTCGGGGCTGCGGTGGTCACGGCTATTCAGTTGATGTATGCTCCTCTGCCTGCTCCACTGGTCATCTTCTGAAAGCGATCGGTGCTGCTCCGCCAGCTAGCCAGCTCATCATCCTTTCTATCTGCAAGTCTAAAGGTAACTTGCAGTGAGTTAGGTTCAAACACTTCACAGTTCTAGCTAATTCCGGCCTCAGACCAACCATGCACAACCCACTAAGGTTTCCCTTGGCATACCCCGACACATGTTCCCTCAACTTTAGAAATTTAGACTGGTACTTAGCCACTGTCCTGGTCTATCTCAGTTTGGCCAGTTGATCTAGCACCCATCCTTCTGCTCTCGCGAACTAGAACATGAGTTTCTCCTGAAATATGAACCACGTGATCATCATCTCGGCCTTTGCACATGACCTCTATGCCCATTCATACAACTGGAGGGCATCTCCCTCTAGGTAGAAGGACACAATATACGCCTTCCTTTACTCTCTAGTGGGATAGTTCTTAAATCATTGATCTGCTGCATATAACCAAAGTCCAGCGTCCTCTTGAGCATTTAGCTTTGGAAACTAAATGATCGGAGTCTACGAGTCGGATATCTAATTGTCTAGACCCTCATGAATCTGTTGCATTGTTAAACGACACAACCCTCGCGGCATCATTAAGTTCTACGATGATATTTAGCTCGAAGTGTCGTTGATCTCGCGACGCAGCAATATTGTATTTCATAACAAAAATTAGTTTAGGTGTAAACAAATATATAAATGAAAAGGAAATTAAAGTAAGAAAAAAAAAAAAAACTACAACGACTTCTGTCGTCGATTCTTCCGAATGAAAAAACTTTCTTTGATTTAGTCGTCAGCACACATACTTGCATTAGGAATTACCTAAAGTGATCAATTGAACCCACCGCCAACATTTTTACTATAAAAAAAGGGAAATGCGGGCATAAAAGAAAAAGGGAGCAGTAGTGCAGTACCACCAAAATCTGGAGTAGATTGTGCCAAAGAAATCTCCCTCTCTCTCTTTGATTAGTCAGCCGAGAAATTGATTTATATAGACGGCCATTTGGCGCATAAGAAGGCAGAGCAGAGCAGAGTTAAAAATGAAGAGGAATCCCATCTCTACAACACACCTCTTAATCTTATCCGTCTTTTGCATCATCGTCTCTGTAACAATTGGCGTCGCGTATGGCAGGGTACCGAATCCCGCAAGCTTCAGAATCCGAGCAGTGAACCTTGGAGGATGGCTGGTCACGGAAGGCTGGATCAAACCTTCTCTCTTCGACGGCATACCCAACAAAGATTTCTTGGTATCTATATCTATCTATCTATCTATCTCCATAAACATTTTCAAATCCTCGTCAACTGGTTAGCTCTCAGATCTACCTTTTTACACACTCCCAGGACGGAACCGAACTTCAGCTGAGATCAGTCACCGTCGGGAAGTACCTGTGCGCAGAGAACGGCGGCGGGACTATCATTGTCGCAAACAGAACATCGGCATCTGGGTGGGAGTCGTTCAGAGTAATTAACTCATTTTAGACTCTGTTTTTGCTCCTCGAGAATGAATACGAATCCCGAAATCTGGTTAATGAGTGGTATTTGAAATCTTGCTTCATTTTGGTGTGGGGAAGCTGTGGAGAATCAACGAGACGAGTTTCAATCTGAGGGTGTTCAACAAGCAATTCATGGGGCTCGGTGGTGGGGATGGAAACAAGGTTGAGATTGTGGGGATCTCCGAGACGGCCGGAGAATCCGAGACGTTTGAGATCGTGAGGAGGGAGAGCGACCCAAGTCGGGTTCGGATCAGAGCCGCTTCGAATGGGCTGTTTCTGCAAGTGAGGAGCGAGGAATTGGTGACGGCGGACAGTTCAGGGGCTGGGGATTGGGGAGACGACGATCCCTCGGTTTTCGCGATGACGATATCTGGGAGATTGCAAGGAGAGTTTCAGGTCACCAATGGCTACGGTCCAAGTTTGGCGCCGCGAGTTATGAGGGTAAGTAGAAATTAAACTCTGAATTGCTTGCCCCTAACCATCAGTTTTGAGTTTTGTCAATGTTTACGCTGCCCTGCCTCCCCTGCTTTCGTGGACTTTTGCCGGCCATTGCCAACTTCGAATTGGGTGCTCGGTACTCGCTATCTCCCCTTTTTGGGTTTCTCTTTTCCTCCGCAGTCCTCACGGAATATATTCTCACCTTTTAGGAAAGTATTTTCGGTTTCATATAAGATTTTTAGTGTATAAAATCTAACTAAATTGCACTTTAATGGTTAAAAATTTAAGCTTTTACGCTTCTAGTCCACGAAAGCGCTTTACACTTTTACGCTTTTAGTTCAGTAAATAAGTATTATTTTCATGAAATTAACTATAAAATGTATATTTTAAAGGTAAGTCATGAACAACATCAACATGATACATTTGAGATTAAAAGAAAACATACAAGGTACTTCTATCCATTCCCAACTTCAATAGAGTAATCAAATTCACCAGCTACACCCTTCCTAAATTCATTAGCATAGAAGGGAGGGTGCCTTATGGTTAAGATCTCTGTTTATGAACATATTGTTAAGATGCTATGAATTGCTCTACTTTAGACATGAATTGCAGCTATTTATAACTTATCTAAATTACGTGCACTCATATTTCAAATAGTATATGTCGTACTAAATAGATTTTTAGCTAATTTACCATATGCCCAAAAAACTTATGTTTTTAAAATTTGATTCTATACTTTACGATTTAAGAGCATCAAGTAATTATATAGTAAATTTCTTTTTTTTTTCACAAATTTAAATCCATTAAGTAGCATGTAATAAAAAACGAACATGAATTTTGTCTAGCAGTACTACCACTACTCTTCAACATAGAGATTTTTGAATCTCCTAAATAACACCTAATAATAAAAACTATTTTCATGTAATATAAAAACAGATGATGTCATCCGGAAAACCGAATTAATTATATGGGGAAGATACATCTGTTAACAAACAAGAATTGGCAGTTGATTGCTAATAAAACTTCTGGGAAAAAAAAACTTGAATTGCTATAGTAATCCTATCTATATTATTATTAGAATCACGAAAAACATATTAAAATATCCGAATTTGTCATAATTATTATAATTATAATGAGATGTGTTTGAATAGCAGGATAAGGATTTATTTGGCATAGTTCTGATTATCATATAATTTGTTTCGATACGAAAATTTCTACAATATTTTGAAGTTATTGTAACTTGATGTTTTTGACCTGCTATAACAGGTTTCACAAGTCGCATTCTGTAAAATACAATAGTCATTATTTAATGGTTACGTAATGTGGGTTTATCTTACGTAATAGTTGAAAAATATCATTACGGAAACCTTACGTAATAGACACTCATTTTACGTAATGAATATTAACCTTTCGTTACGTAATCTATTAAATTATTACGGAAGACTTACGTAACGCTTCTTATTTAACCGTTACGTAAGAAATAACTATCATTACGTAATAGATACATACTTTACGTAACAATTGTAAAGTGGCATTACGGAAGCCTTACGTAATGGATGATCCTTTTACGTAATGAATATTAATCAAGTTACGCAATGTGGTAAGTCATTGTAGAAGTCTTACATAACACTTCTAATTTAACTGTTACGTAAGAAATAACCTTCGTTATGTAACCTTTACGTAATGAGCGTGTATTTTATGTAACAATTGTAAAATGTCATTATGGAAGCCTTATGTAATAGATGATGCTTTTACGTAATGAATATTAACCTAGCGTTATGTAAAATGATAAGTCGTTACGGAAACCTTCCCAACTCTTCTAATTTAACTGTTACGTAAGTCTAACAAGCATATATTAACAGAGAATTATTGGAAAACCTGCTATAGCATGTAAAAAAACTAAGTTATAGTAACTTTAAGGCATGGTAGGAGGTCCCGATGATATTTGGCCTTGCTCAAATACAAGAGGTGAATTTCAATTATATATTTAGTATAATACTTGTGAATTTCAAACATATATTAACAGAGAATTATTGAAAAATCCATGTGGCACAAAACAGAACATATTTGTTAATTTTCAAAGTTTAGATACTATACACAAGGGAAAAACAAGCACCGTAATTTTACTTCCAAAATTTGCATACCTGTTCGTAAATCAACTAGTCTAGCTTCCGACATCAAAATTTCTCATTTCAATGTTGTACATATAACATATCTAGTTTGCATTGAACAGTTACATAAATTTGGTTTACAGAAATATTACTACCCTTAGTAGCAACATTCGTGAACTAGACATGGTACCGTTGGCGTGTTATGAATTTTTTTTTGACAATGTTGGCGTGTTATGAAGCTGGGTGTGGTTTACCCAGCAATATATATCCCTGGGCGTAGGCGTAGTGTTCTTTTTATTTTTTATAGATAAGAGTGATATAGGTTTAGTTTTTTAATTATATATTATTTGATGGGTTTGAATCCGAAACCTTTAAGTTCAGAGCTAGTGATATTACCACTAGATCAAGTCCTTATTCGTGGTGTAGTGTCACTAACAAATTGAGAGTGAAACACACATCTAACCCTTCTCGTGGCGAACAAGCCATCCTTCATCTTTTTAAGCCCACACCAAAGTTAGGCAGGATGACGGATGACTTGTGAAGGATGGCTTCATCGTCACGAGAAGGGTAAGATGTTTGTTTCACTTTCAATTTGTTAGTAACGGCTTCATAGATTTAGAAAATGAGAGTCTTTGTAATTCAAAAATCCAAAGATTTATCAAGGATTTGAGGTATATTATGAGATATTATGAATTTGTAACAATTCTTTGTTTGTTGATATGTTTTATCATAGATTTAATGGTTTGTAATTTAGAACTTAAAGTCCAAAATTACCTTACTATCCTTTTCAATTTGTTTGTCATGTTTATCATATGTGCACATAACAAGGATAATACGTACTAATAAGTATAATGGTGCCACAAGGACAATACACACTAACAAGCTAAATGTAAGGGCAACCTTAGAATATTAAAAGGCCAGGAGGGTATATAGGTAAAATCTCATCATGAATTTATGACATGTTCCCAATCCCACATCTATATCAATATGTGGGGATTTACAAGTCCGTGGAGTCCACGGATTTGATCATAAAAAAATGCAAAAAATGGATTTCCCTTAAATCCACGATGAAATGAATTTGGGTACCAAATTCATCATCCAAATCCACAAAACAAACAACCCCTAAATTGTTAACACTAGTTCCAACTAATAAATACATTTTGTTTTGATAATTTTTTATTTTAAAGGATTTATCGCAATTAATGAATATTTTTAAGGTACGGGTATGCTTTTCATTATTAAAATTTGAGAGAGTGAAACACACGTGTGTGTTGTGCATCAATGGAGGAGGGGTGCATGAATTAGGGGAACCGCAAAACAAAAACTAGACAACAAAACAAAGTACACCACAAAAATACCAGAAGGTTTAGAAAACATACCAGAATTTCACCGCATCATAAAATTCGTAGAGCATACTAGAAAGGTCAGACAACATAATAACAAGCTTATAAAACCTACCAAAACATCACCACATCACAAATACCAATTATTTATAAAGTATACCATAAATTTTTCTTAAAAAATATCGTAAATCTCCTAAAACATATTAAAAACCTCATAAAGTATATCACAAATTTATTAAATCACACCACAACCCTGCACTGCGCCCTCAGTCCGCCTCAAAATGTCTATTCCAGTCTCTTCAAAGAAATTCCCTACTCAAGATAATTTTTGGTCCAAGTTCAATAATCCCCCTTCTCGCTAGGAGCGGATATGGATAGGTAGGACTTAGGAGAGAGAGGAACAAGAACAACAGGATAGGATGAGTAAATACTATATACAATAATTATCATACTAGGTGTCTTTGGATAGAAAGATTTGTATTTAATAATTGTAATTTGGATTTCAAATACCAAATCATTTGTTTGGATATTAATTACATTTGGTATTTAGATTTGTGCCAAATTCATGGGGTGATTTCCAAATACATGTCTAACGTATTACTTGTCAACTTCAAATACATTCCAACAACTAGTGATTTTGAAATTCCTCCTAAGAAAAGATTGGACCTATTTGTAACATTTTAAAAGTTTAGGTATTATAGTATGATGAAAAAATTTATAAAGGTACCAAAATGTAATTTCATCACCAAAATTTCAGGATCTTTTTGTATAATTTTAAAAATTTAGGTACTAAATTGTAAGAAAAATAAACTTTGGGTACCAAAATTTAATTTTCCAAATTTTATAATAGGTGACCAGAAAATTCAAAATTAAAATAAAATTCTAAAAATCTAAAATACCAACAAATTACAAATGAGTATCCAAACAATGAATTTGAATTATATGTATTTCAAATGCACTCATTATTTCAAATACATCATATTTGAAATACACTTATCCAAACACAGCCTTATAATTCTTTGTTAGAAAGGGTGGAAATCGGTACGGTATCGGTATCCCAATACCAAATACCGAAATCCCGAATACCGAATTACACCCTAAAGTCAATTCCAATCCCAATCCCTAAATAATTTCGGTATCCCAATCCCAATCCCTAAATATTTCGGTATCCCAATCGGTACTTCGGTATCCCAATCGGTATTATCGAATAAGCAATTAATTACCTTAGTAATTAATAATTAAATATATAAATTAGATTTTATTGTTTAATTTACGGAAAAAAGACTAAGCAAAGAGTTTTGAATTAGGATATTATTAAGGAGAGTGGAGGAGAGGAGACATCTCAAGTTCTTGTTATTGATAATCTTTAATTTGACGAATTGGAGGTTGAGAGACGACTATTAATAGTGATGGAATGGTATGTGTATAATTAAATGGCATTTTTTGTGGTTGAGGGTCATGTAGTAGTAAATAATAGAGTCTAGTTGAGAGGATAAAATACAGACTAGCTTATATTTCAGTATTGATCGGTATTTCGGTATATCCCGATCTCAATCCCGTAATCCCTAATACCGAATAACAATTGAAATTCAATCCCAATCCCAAGAAATAATACGTGTATTCGATAATACCAAATATAGACAAATTCGATACGGTATTCGGTATATCCCAAATACCGGTACCAAACTTCCAACCCTAGTTAGAAGGGTTCTAATACCACCCAATCCAGTCTTGTTGGCGATAGGGTTGCGGCGGTGAATCTCCTCCCCATCATAGCTAGTATATTATATATAAAGACTTGCAAGCCCCTACAAGAACACAAGTGATTATCGTATAAGTTATGGACTAGTCCTGAATTACGGAGATATAACGTAAATCATGTATGTATTAATCTGCGTGTCGAATTGTTTTAGATTGGAGATCCTAGCTAAATCTGACGAAGACTGGATTTTTGATTATTTCAGGAACATTGGAACACATTCATAGTGGAAGAGGATTTTAAGTACATATCCGAGAATGGGATAAATGCGGTGAGAATACCAGTGGGTTGGTGGATAGCCAGTGATCCAAACCCGCCTCCACCCTTCGTAGGCGGCTCCTTGCAAGCCTTGGACAACGCCTTCTCTTGGGCACTGTAACTACCCTCTCAACCTTTATATTTTTACATATTGCATATAAACATAAATGAGCATAGATAATTAAAATTGAAGGTGTTGATGATACAAATTAGTTCTTTCCTATATTAAATACTTCAACTTAGTTTAGTTTTATTATGTACCAATCACACTTTTTTTAGGGTCAAACATCTTAGTTTGGCAAAACTTTACACTAACAAATTACTTTGGCCGAACTTTTTGAAATCTCTAATATGTCTAAACTTCCAAAATAATTATCCCACTTTGCTTGACTTTTTGGTTGATCGTTAAATTGGAAGGTCAATATCTCAACCCTTAGTGGGCCACTCTCTATAACTTAGGTGGATACCATATCAACTAAAATTTTAAATTAGATTTTAAAGATAATATAAAAATTCATAATTATTTTAGTAAATATCATAAAATAAAAAATATTAAAAAATAGAACATTGACACATTGTGGACGGGGACTACTTGTATCTCACTAAAACAAAGTTATTTTTCCTCCTTTTGTTACTAGTTGACCCACTATATCCCCTTGCTACTTCATCACAACACTCATCGTCGTCCTCAGCCTCGTCAAGCTCTCTACCTCCATCGCTTCTTTAGATCGAGTTATGGTCACAACCATGAGCTTTTGTTCTCTCACTTTCCTGACTATGGCCTCAACCGTCTTGGTCCACTTTTCTTCTCCTTTCTAGCTAGATATGTCGTCTTTATCTCTTCATATTTGATTCCGAAACTCATGATTGAACTCTCCGAGCCCGAATTCCCAAGAGTCCAATTTGCGCAACTTCTTCCCTTTGGTATTTCTAGCGTCATCTACGCAATTTCCAACTACCACTCATACTGTTTGGCTGATCCTCCTTTATGTTTTTCACGATTAGAATTACAAATTATTGTTGGGCGATTAAGAGCATCACATGGGATGTAATTGATAAAAAGGACGTTTGGATGGGGGAAATTCGTTTCGAGGGATTTGACCTCAAATTCCTCCTTAAAAATCTCATTTTACCATGTTGTAGGCTTTGACGAGATCCACTTCTCTACCATTTAGGGTATATCCCCATGTTTTGCACACATAGAGTGAATGACCTCTTGTAGAATGCAAATATTATCTGTGATGTCTCTTCAAGACGAAACTAGTCTGGGTTTCGTTCACAAGCTTCAACATCAGCAGTTTTACCTCCTTCGCTAACCATTTAGTCACTACTTTGTAAGCCACATTCACCCTCTCCCCTGCCCTGTTTCGTCGCCGTCGACGAGCATAGTATCTTCACACCAGCTCGTCTGGAAGTTCTAAGGCGCTTAATCATTGTTAACATGAACTTCTAGGCTACAAAACTTACTTCATTCTTCGAACCACTTGTTTCCCCTAGTTCCTTGGCTTGATTTGCGATCAATTGTTGTTGATCTGGTCAAACTTCAGCCGACGATAACGGTTTAAGCACATATTGTCAACCTTCGTGCTTTAGTTTATAGCAATTGGTTCCTCCGTAGTGCCATACCTTTCGATCAAATTGACAAGGAAGACCAAGTAATAAGTGGGCAGCCTGCATAGGTGCTACATCAAACAAGAGCTCATCCTTGCAGCTGCCGATTTCGAACAGAACTCTCGCTTGTTTGGTAACCTTGATCGCACCATAATCGTTTAGCCAATACAAATTGTACGGCTCTGGATGCCTACACTACTCATGCCAAGTTTCTTGACGACATCCCCACTGAATACGTTCGTATAGCTCCCTCCATCGATGATCAGAGACAACAAATTACCATTAACGAGACAACGCGAGTGAAACAAATTGTCTCGTTGTTCTATTGAGGCATGAGCTTCGATGGTTAAATCCCTCCGATTCATCGTCATGAATTTTCCAGTTGTAGGGGCCTTAACAAAAATCTCTTTGTCCACATCTTCTTCAGACGATTTGTCATCGTTCTTCCTCTCGTCCTCATCGTCACCGATGTACTTTTCATCATGCAAATCAGAGTCTCCAAGTTGGGGAATTGGTTTGCCTTGTGCCCTCTGCCATGGCACTTAAAGCACTAGATTTCCCCACTGGAACCTCTATTTCGTTCTTGAAGGACAAGCGTGACATTTTTAGCTGAAGACTTGAAGCCAACTTTCTTAAACTGGTGGTTAATGGGCTTGACAGTTTGCTCTGGGGTCAGCTTGGTGGCCGAAGGAAATTGTCTTCCCAGAGCCAACTTCAATTGCCTCTCAACTTTAATTGCGAGGTGAACCACCTCCTTAAGTTCTAAAAAGGGTTGAAGGTAAACTTCGTGATGGATTTCACGATTCAGGCCATGAAGAAAACACGAAATTGTGGCCTCCTTATCCTCGGCCACATCATGAGCAATTCCAGCCCATTGAAGGAATCATCAACATACCGATTTCCTTGGCGAATCCCTTGTAGTGATTCGTGCAGCTCACTCTGATAATAACCTGACACAAATCGCTCACTCATGAGTCCTCGTAGCTCAGTTCATGTCGCAATCTCCAGTTGCAAATTCCTTCTTCATCATAATCGAATCTGCTTCCACCATTGAGCAGCATAATCCATAACTTCGTACGTAGCCACGATTACCTTCTGTTGTTTGGAATAATTACCGCATTGAAGAACAATATGATCTTCCTTTCCCAATCCAAATAAGTAGCAACATTGTTGATGCCTTGGAAGGAAGGAATTAAGCGCTTAAGCACTCGTAATTCAGCAATGGTTCCCTGCTCTATTTCCGGGTGGCCGCTCTCTATAATCGCGACGATCATGAGTCTACTGTCCAGGATTGGTGTCAGCCAAGATCATCCCATGCTTTAGCTCCTAGATTCGCACCATTAAAGCGCGATTAGAGGCGTTTGCATCATCTTGGTCACGTTCTCCTTCCAGATCCTGACGATTCTCCTACGGCGGCGGCGACGACAGGGCATCAAGCCTCTACGCTTGTTACTTTAACTGCTATTCAATCTTTTCGAACTGTGCATGAAATAACGCACTCATCATGCTCAGTTATCGTCTGTAAATACTCAGTCATGATCAATTGTCCATCCATTATAGTCTCGTCCAATTGAACCTCCTCATCATATTGAAATTCTTCCTCTGGTTCTCGACGGGAAATCAGATCCTTGGACCTTGTTCTTGATTAGACTGGTCATCGTGCTTTTGATCTGGCCACTATTTTGAACCAGGCTCTGATACCACTTGATATTAGCAAGATCGGCCTACTCGATGAATCAGAATCACGCAACCAAGTGATAGTTGAATTGAAGAACTCGAACTCAAGCAAGCAAACCAACTAGGTCGATTTACTTGCGTAAGATGGAATCGATTGTGCAATCTAGAAGCTTGGGGAGAAGGCTTGACTCGTTCCAACTACAACACCCCGATCGATGACCAAGTATAACCGTCGACCGGGTGTAGCATAGGGCAAGCAAGAAATAATAATTTATCATACCACGGGGATCTAGGCTTACCCTACTTCAGGTTTGGGGTTCGTTATCTAGCCAACCTAGGATAGTGGTTAAGAGAATTAAACTAACTAACCTAGCTAACCACTAACCTAGCTATTTACATGTTTGGGAGCCTTCTCTTGGGTTGAATCCTCCTAGATCCGTCATAGGATCGATGTTGGGTATCCTACTAGCTCGATCGAATCACTACCCTATAGTTAGGAGATGAACTCCCTCCGGGACAGACCCAAACGGTGAAGTGATGGACGGGTGGTGCTCTATTCAACCCAGGACACCCCTATATTGTAGGAGCTCGATCCAATCGACTCCCTCGGGGATTACTCGGACAATATAGGGTGAGGAGTGACCCGAAGACACCAAGATAAGGGGCTAAGGGGATTTTCTCCCTCCTAGGTCAAAGCTCAAAAACATGAAAATGGAATCCAAACTCATGCCGTTCATGAAAAACCATCCATAACTTAGATAATAACTCAATCAACATGGAATTGTCACATACAACAACACCAAACAAAATCTAGACCTAGAGTTCTTAAACACAAGAGGATGAGGGTGAGTTTGTAGAGAGAAAAGAGAGAGATTACAAACAAAGCACAAGATCTTCATCTAGGCTTGATTCCTTGCTTTCAAGCTTGATCAATGCCTTTAATTAAGCTCCAAGATCACTCAAGAACTCTCTCTCTCTCTCTCTCTATAGAACTTCCTTTGGTGTTTTGGGTCGAAACCCTAGAGAAAGAAACTAATTCTCTCTCCAAAAACCAGCTCCCCTTTCTCTCTCCCTCACTGTTGTCTTTAAATTTGCCCAACATAGCCCAGTTCACAGTCGGGGACCTCAGTTCACGGTCTTAGACGCGTGAACTGACTTGAGCCTAGTAACTTGCAAAACCGTTCTGGAAATTGGTCACTTCACGGTCAGGGCTTCAGTTCACGGTCTAGAGACCGTGAACTGAAGCTCCAGCCCGCTGAACAGGGCTCACCCTACACTTTTTGGCTCGTTTTGACCTCCGAATGACCCGAAACTCGTCCCGGACCTTCTCACACGCTAGGACCTTAAATGTAACAAAACAAGCACAACCTAGTGTTAAAATAGGTCGAGGAACGGTGATCTACTAAGCATAGCTGATAAGAAATGTGGGGGGAAAATGTGTACATTTTGACCCGAATCACTCCTCCATACTTGAACATTTGCTTGTCCCCAAGCAAAACAAGTACAACACAAGGTAAGACTTACAACTTCTTTTCTCAACCAAAATTTGGGGCATGTCATAGGCACCAAACGAATGAACACAATGGTTATTTGAGACCGACCTATGGACAAAAACAAAGTAATCATGGCAGCCACCATAAACGATATTCAACTGTATTAAGATTGTGCAAAAGAAGAGTTCTCACATATTCACGAACCAACACACAACATGTCTCGACGACTCACCAATCACAATCACTCATGCATGAAGATCACATCATAGGAATGAACGATCGAGCAACCTATGTCCTCATCGGGGGTATAAGAAATGAACAAAGCATGATGAATGTATAGAGGTAAACAACATGTACGTGTTTCTATAGATTGTATGCCAAGAAACACTTCTAAGAGCATGTTCAACATTTATTATACTTTTGTGGACACTCTCTTTTCTTCTTTTCCCTTTTATTTATTTATTTTTCTCTTTTTCCTTCCTTTCGTTTTCTTTTCTTTACTCTTTTCTTTGATGGCTATAGAGAGAACATGCCACTCTTTTTTTTTACTTAAGGAACAATGCTCACTTTTATGAACTACCTCCACACTCACGTTCACATTCTTAGCAACACTATACACAAATCACTCATGTGGGAACCTCGTTTAGGCTTCAAATGGTATGAATAGAGCTTCCAAACACCAAGGGTGACCACCATAATGGTGTAGACTCGAAGAAAGTAGGTTCGTTCTATCTAAATCAATCAAGCTCAAGTAGCGAGAGCTACCTAAAATGAGAACGATCCTTCGACACACAGCGCTCAAAGGGGTTGACTAGGGGATCATACGATCGGGACAATCATCATTTTGGGTCGTGGACTAATCCTATGCCTCCATCTTCCTCGCTAGCAACAACGTGAATACTACACATCATGTAAAGGGGGAACTATCACACAAGAACGAACGAACGACACAAGTCTAACATGGCTACCTAGGTGCTCAATCATTCGTTCTAACTCCCTAAAATCGATGCATAGGAACTTTGAAAAAACGAGTAATCGATTCAAAACATCTATCACAAAACACATGAGAAATGGAACCTATGCACAAACCTAATACAAGTCTCAAATCATCCACAGATAATGCTAATAACCACGAGATTCAAAACAAATCACCAAAGTGCCACTATGATCACAACAAACATAGAAGTTGCTATGCTTGGATCCCTCAAATTTTAAAAATTTAGGCATACAACTAGGCTCCAAGCATTCAAAATCACACCAAACATTCACACAAACATGCATAATAGACTATCCCCCCCCCCCCACACACTTAAACTCGACATTGCCCTCAATGTCGTAAAATAAGGAGTAGAACCGATGTTACCGGATAGTGGTGAATGTTGGTGTTCAGGAGTGGAGGGCGGTGGCTGAGATCCGGAAGAGCGTGGAGACGGCAAAACACCACCAAAATCTCTCCAATGGTCGTCTTATTGAAAAGGAAAAGAGATGCAAACCGATGATGGTTGGGTTTGCCTCTCACCAAGCGCTTCTTTAACATCGTGAGCTGGATGTTTTCTCCTCAAGTTTCGGTCCACCCAAGAACCTCCTTGAAGTTAAGATTCTCGTCAGTGAGGTGGTGTCTCATGTCACGAGCTTTGGACGAATCCATGATTGAGGGCTCGTGAACTTGAGTTGTCATGAGGCTCTACCCACGAGACCTCTCCTTCTTTCCTTCTTCTTCCTTCTCTTTGCCCCACACCATGTAATGCAACTCGATTTACTTCCACCGCATCCACCAAGAGGGATCACCTGATGGTTTGGCCTTGGCTTGGCAAAGCGACGCCAATGGGTCCTTCTCAAGTAACGCGTCGAGGGTTGGGTGGAAAGTCGTGATCAGTACTTATAACTTGTGGATGCTTCATCCACCGCGACCTCGTCCTCAACTTGGACCTCACTTGCTCCTTCTACTTTTACTTCTACTTCTACTTCTACCGCAACCTCCCTTCTTTATTCTTCAATTTCCTCCCTTTGGGAAGAATCAATACCTTCCTCATCTTCAAAGCTCCATTTTTCCTCTTCAACCTCCTCCTTGTCCTTCCCATTCAAATCGTCAAGCACGGTATGGAGGGCAAGATGCCATGCAAGATCATAGAAAGAATTCTCTTGCTCCTCTACACTCTTGACTTGGTCTTCAAATTTGCTCGCGGGAAGGGGAAATTGATGAAAGTCGTCAATGGAACCTTCTTGTTCATCCTCACCACGGGAGCTCTCTGGGGTGAGTTCGTCTTGCTCCACATGGTTGTCATTGATCGCTCCATCAACCTCCTCTTTCTCTGCCAATGATGAGAGGCGATAGCTTGCACAAGCTCGTGTCACCTTCTCTTCAAGTGTCAAACAGGGTGGAGGGAGGGGTTGGAAATCCGTGTTAGAGCTTGGTCTTTCAAATTTCTCCATGGCAAGATCCAATTTAGACTTCTCTTCGGGTTGTGGGGGATCCAATTTTGAGCACCCTTCATCGGTGCCTCGAGCAAACCGCTCAACCATGAGCTCTAACTCGCTCTTTGGCAACGATTTTGGAGTGGCGCATGGTCTTGAGGAATGTCTCATGAAAGCCTCCATGGCCAACTCCAACTTAGATTTCTCCTCAAGTTGTGGAAGGAAATCTTCTTGATATGGGGAAGCTTCTTCATATCCCCAATGGTATGGTTGTTCTTCTTGGAAGGGAGGTTGATCATAGAACCCGTTTCCTTGGCTTCCACCCTCTTGACTACTCCAGGAAGCTCCGGGGTACCCACATTCGGGTGGTTGTGGATACCCCCACATGTTGTAGAAGCCATTGGGATCCATGATTCAACCTGCAAACACCAAAAAACACAAAAACAAAATCAAACATACACAGACCACCCTTCAAGTGAAGAGTGGGTGAACAAAACTCAAAAAAAATGCAAACACAAACGGCTAAAGTAACGACCTAACCCTTTTTCAAATAACCTAGAATGGCTCCCCGATAACGATGCCAAAAACTTGACTCGTTCCAACTACAACACCCGATCGACGACCAAGTATAACCGCCAACCGTGTGTAGCATAGGGCACGCAAGCAATAATAATTTATCATACCACGGGGATCTAGGCTTACTCTACTTCAGGTTTAGGGTTCGTTATCTAGCCAACCTAGGATAGAGATTAAGAGAATTAAACTAACTAACCTAGCTAACCACTAACCTAGCTATTTACAAGTTTGGGAGCTCTCTTGGGTTGAATCCTCCTAGCTCCGTCGTAGGATCGATGTTGGGTATCCTCCTAGCTTGATCGAATCACTGCCCTACTGTTAAAAGATGAACGCCCTCGGGATGGACCCAGAACGGTGAAGCAATAGACGGGTGGTGCTCTATTCAACCTAGGGCACCCCTATATTGTAGGAGCTCGATCCAATCGACTCCATCAGGAATTACCTGGACAATATAGGGTGAGGAGTGATTCAATCGAGCTCCATAGCCACTTTGAGCCCTTCTTTCAAAGGCTTCCAGGTACCCTTGAGCTCAACCGACTCCAGTACGTTCTTCAGTGAGTCTCATACTTTTAATCCCAACTCACAACTCTCTTCGTATGCTCCCCAATCGTTTCGAATAGGCCTCCAAAGTAGGTAGCTTGAAACAGTTTCTATACATAGCCAAAATTCCATAAATGTGTTCTTCTTTGCTCCATGGTTCGATTTCAAAATTGCACTTCAATGGAGAACACTCAAAATCACAAACCATATTCCCCCTCCCCCACCTAAAAATTCACTGCAAGCGCTATCATGTTTTGTCAAACCACATCTAGTTAATTACTCTAGTTGCATTGTGCAACTAATCTATGGCTCAACAATAATCTCTATATTAGGACAGTAGTACCCTACTGTCAGGCCTAGAGGGAGGGACTCAACCGTTGTTGGCCAATCAGTCGGTGGCAAGCTGTGATCACAATCGAGTCAAACCTCTATATGCCCGATGTAGGTTTCACGAGATTAGTGGAGTTGTCTCTTGTTCCTTAGTTGATTATTTATAGTTATGTGCAATTTAGCGTAATATACTTATTTTGAAAACTTTGTTGATATATGTGCTTAATATATAATTTTTATACTTTTGAAAAATATTGCAGAAAATATGGATTGAAAGTCATAGTTGACTTGCACGCGGCCCCTGGCTCACAAAATGGGTTTGAACACAGCGCTTCAAGGGACGCTTCTCAGGAGTGGGGATTAACCCATGAAAATATAAGACAAACCATTAATGTGATAGACTTTTTGACTGCAAGGTACGTAAAGAGCCCAAGCTTGTATGCCATCGAGCTAATAAATGAACCACTATCTCCTGGAGTGTCTTTGTCTAGCTTGGAAGAATATTATCAGGGAGGATATGACGCCGTTAGAGCCCACTCTCAAACGGTATACGTAGTGTTGTCAAACCGATTAGGGTCTGAAGCCAAACCCAGAGAGTTGTTTGCACTAGCCAGTGGATTCAAAGGAGCCGTGATCGATGTTCATTACTACAGTCTCTTCTCCAACATCTTTGACAACATGACCGTCCAGGAAAATATTGATTTCATTCACACAAACCGTTCGTCTGAATTGAGTTACTTGACGACTTCCAACGGCCCTCTCATTTTTGTTGGTATGACGAGCTTTTTCGGTGTATATTAGTTTTGACATTTTCTTCCCCTTTCATTTTTCATATTATTAAAACTGGGTTTGAATTTTGCAATTTATTTTTGCAGGGGAGTGGGTGGCCGAGTGGAAAATTTCAAAGGCAAGCAAGGATGATCTTTCAAGGTTTGGTGAGGCTCAATTAGAGGTCTATGGGCGTGCAACTTTTGGTTGGTCGTATTGGGCACTGAAGAATGTCAACAACCATTGGAGTTTGGAGTGGATGATTGACAATGGTTTCATAAAACTTTAGAAACCATTTTGTATCATTTAGTGTTTTTTCTCTATTGCCAAGTAAAAAAAATGCAAAAATCGAGGATAAAACACGATCATTGTAGTTTTGTTGTTTTTGCGGAATTGGGCTTCACTAACACAGTCCAATCCAAACAAATGCAAATAAGTGGCTTCATATGCATTTTTAGAATGTGTTTGATGGGGGTTCGTAGTGATTGATTGGTTGATTTTGATAAACCCGTCCTCCAGTTCAAGTTTCGTGGCCCTCACTTATCCATATACCCCAGTAACCCCTAGTGGAGATTTGACACCCTTGATCCAATTTGAGGAACATGATGTTCGGTTTCATTGCCCGAGCACCACTTCCCAACCTGCACTCTTCTTCTCAACTATAGACGGGTCGTGATAACACTGAATTTGTAAATATTTTTACCCCTCATTTCTTGATTGTTTAGCTTGGTGTTTATCATACGTTGATCTATTTAACACTAGGTTGTGTTCATTTGTCACATTTCAGGTCCTAGCACTTAAAGTGAAGTATAAATGCAAGTTTCAAGTCGATCGGAGATCAACTGGTAACTCAGAGGAAGAAACTCGGGCATGAGCCAAGGAAGAATGGATTTCTAACTCATTTTATGGACAAAGAATCATGTAATCTAAGCATTTAAATAAAGAGGACGAAACTACGAGAGTCTGGGATCAAACGGTGACTAATTCGGAGTCCGGATGGAGAAACAAAGCATCAAAGACAATGGAACAAGAGCCGAGGAAGAAACACGGGTGGGAGAAACACGGTTGTGTTTTGTCCTCTCGTGCCCGTGTTTTATGTGCCGAGAAGAAACAAGGGAAGGGATGAAACACAGCCGTCTTTCTGCCTCCTGCTCGAGTATAAGTATGGTTTCTGCGATTTTAGAGAAGGGGAGTTTGGTTTTGCTTCCGAAACACCCAAGGGATGAACCCCCAGAAAAAGAGAGCGACTTGGAAAAATTCTTAGAGATATTTTGGAGGATTTCCTCGCCATTGGAGCTCGAGAATCAAGATTGGAGATGAAGATTGAAGATCTAAATCGAATTTGTGCATTCTCTCTCTTCTCTATGGAGTAACTTCCCTTCACTTAGGTTTTGAGGAACCCTAGTACAATGTGTTATGATCTTTCTTGTATGAAACTTTGGATCCTTTACCTTTTGATTTTAATCGATGGAGGCATGATTTATTAAGTCAACTGAATCCTGGTCAAATTCTCTTGATTTCTGCTTTAACCTTTAATAGATAGAATCTGATTAAGTTAAGAGAGCTTCCTTGATTGTACGAGAGTCAGTTAATTCGCTGCTTTGTACTGTGAAATTCATTCCAAGTAGTGGAGATATGTGTGAATTGCCTAAGCATTCTATCCCGGTGAATGTTAGTCACTTGTTGTATACTATGTCTAAGAGGGCTTGGTCCGTTTAAGAGATACGAAAGCTATTATCGATCCAACAGTTTAATCAACAGTAAAACAACCAAAGAAAATTATAACTTGAACCTAACTGGGGAGCTAGGGGAATCATACCCAAGTGAGTTCCAAACCTGTAATTAGATTAATTTTAACTATAGTTTGCTAGAGTAGTTAGAATTCTTCTATCTTAATATGCTTTGCTAGATAATGAACTGAAGCTGAGTAATAGTAACTCTAGAGACTTGTGGATTCAATATTTATTATTTGTTCCACTATACTACTGTCCCTTTCATTGGTACACTTGGCCATTGTTAGGAGTTGTGTTTTAGCGAGTCAAGTTTTTGGCGCCATTGTCGGGGAACTTTCTAGATGATTAGGAAAGGCAGAAGGTTATTAATTTATCTTTTCTTTCTTTTGTTTCTCCTTCCACCCTTGCTTTTCACTTGGGTGCTTTGCTTTTGATTTTACAGATTTGAATCATGAACCCATATGGCTTCTCCGACCAGTAGGGTGTCAATCATCACCTAGTTGGTATTACCCTGAGACTTCATGGGATAACCAATACGGAGAAAGCTATGGATTTGGGTTCCAGAAAGAGCAACCACCCTCTTGCGAAGAACAATCAGAGCCCTAGGCATTTCAAGAACAATCTCCTTATCAAGAAGAATTCCTTACACAACCAGAAGGGCCATCGGAGCTAGAGTTAGCCATGGCGTCCTTCACGGGCCATTCTGGAGAGCCATGCTACACTCAACTAGAAAATTCGTACAAACAATTGAGGCTTCTCGTGGAGCATATTGTTCAAAACAATGAGAGATCCTTTCCCAAGATGGACCTTCTAATCCAATCCATTGGTCCTCGTGACCCTTCCTTTCTCCTTGAAATGGAGGATACTGTTCAGTACTCAGCAAAGCAAACTTAGTGCGTTGAGCAATTTTGTGCATAGCTTGCTCAAGATCACCTTTCTACTACCATAGAAGAAGAGGAGGAGGATGAAGGAGGCTACAAGGACATTGTGAAGCAGATAGAAGTTGTCTTGGAAAGCTCCCGTGATGATAATGATAAAAAATGTCCTGTTGTAGCGGACCACACCTTTCCACATCCCACACCGAGTTTTTAAGAGGCAGACATGAGTGAGGAGATGCAAGATGATCTCATTGAAGAAATTGCTTGGTGACTTGCTCTCCCATCCGTGATGGAAGAAGAAGAGCAAGAAAGGGTGAGTAAGGAAGTTCAGGAGGATGACGAAAGAGAAGCAGTTAGAGTTCTTGATCTTTTCCAAGGGGAGAGACCACATTCGGAAGAAGGAAGGGGGGTTAAGGAAGGCATTGGCATCCAGGCTGAGGACGAAGTTGATGCGGAAGAGACCTGCACCGACCATGAGTTACATGTGATATCTCCACCAAACTTCAAGGAGCTGCTTGGCCAGGACCCATTTGAAGTGTCTCTTTGTCTGCCCAAGGCCATACAAACATCCATCCCACTTAGGGGTGTCCATTCGGGTTTTGTTTTTCGGGTTTACCCGAAACTGACCCGATTTTGTACATTTTCGGTTTTTCGGGTTCGGGTCCATTTCGTGTTTCGGGTTTTTCGGTTTCGGATTTGGTTTTGCTTATCGGTTTTTTGGGTTCCGGCTAAAAACCTCCAATGAATAGAACTCAGCCCGTATTTTTAAACTTTCGGTTTTGCTTTAACCGAACCCGATAAGGAATTTTCGGGTTTCGGGTAACCGAAACCCGCAAGTCCTTATCGGGTTCGGTTTTAGTGATTTTCGGTTTCGGTTTTTCGAGTTTTTTCGGGTTTCGGTTTGGGTAACCGAACCCGAACCGACACCCCTAATCCCACTTGGTGGATGCGATGGTGGTCAATCGATGTTTTTCTACATGGTTTGGGGAAATGAGACAAGAGAAGAAGAGGTCTCAAGGGTGGAGACTCCATCTGCATCAAGTACACGAGCCTTCATCAACTACCACACCACATGCTCGTGACTTGAGACTCCATTACTCGTCCCGAATATCACAATAAAAATACCAATTAGGGCCCAAGTATAAACCTTAATTGGGTGCAATATAGGGAAATATGTTTAAATATCAACCTGGGTCGGTCCATGTACCCATACTTCGATTGTTTGTAATGTTATCTAGCGATTGGGTTTTGGTGAAAACAACAATCTATAGCTAAAATTTGGAGAAGTAAATGGATTTGACACTAATTGAGAAGGCTTCACCCGGGTGTTGCTCCCCCTAGCTAGAAATTATGATTTGTCGGATCGAATGGACACGTGTGGTAAGGAGGTTGTAAACCGTAGGGAAGTGCAACAAGTGGACAAATGCCACTCTCTCTCAATAGGTCAAGGGAATTCGATTCAAGCTACCAAAGTAGCTCTCTTGACCTATTGACTAAGGGTTGCCAAAATTTCACCCTCGAATCGGATTTTGGACGACCAAATTACAACAAACCCTGGGTGCTAATACGAACAAAGAGGGTTGCCCTACATTAAACTAGATAGGAGACAAGATTTGCTTAAGAAAACCCAGCTTTGCAAGCCTCTTTCAAAGAAAGAGAGTTTTATCTCTACCTAGATTAGAATGGAAAATAGATTTATAGGAAAACACACAACAAAATCTTCCATGAAAATACCACCAAATTCATATTAAAACACATCCACACATAAATCATTCAACCCATACAAAAATTCACATAATTGTAGCTAGGGTTTACAAACACCCAAGTGAAATAAGGAACTACTCCATGCTAGGAGAATGGAGAACACAAGGGAGAAGAAGGGAAACCATCATGGAGATGCTAGCCTTGCCCCTTGTGTTGAAGAGATCCTCCTTTGGGGAAGGAATTCCCAAAACCTGTCTTGAAGATCAAACCCTAGCTTCTTCTCTTCTTTGGTTCGTCACTTTCTCACTCTAGAAATTGGAAGAAGAAGAAGTTTCTCACACTAGGTATCTCTCCCCTTTCCCTTCCTTCAGCTCAAGCCTCTTTTATACCCAGGTCGAGCTCGATTCACGGTCCCAGTTCACGGCCGTGAACATCTGGCGAGGACCATGATCTGGAGCAAAAATGCACCACGTAATTTAAGCTCTTCACGGTTTATGGCTAGGGTTCTGATTCGGGCCTAATTGTACATGTTTTGCCTCCGTTTTCCTTAGTCGTTTGTGGCAACTTGGCTCCTAAAAGGTTGGTTTTAAGCTAGGTTTCTCGTGTTTTAGGATTTAACAGGTGAAACCAGCCTCGGAGTCGAAAGTTGGATGAAAATGATCGAAAACTGGGAGAAGAGGTGAAAAGGGTCAGTTCACGGCTATCCCAGGAAGTTCATGGTCTTGCACGACCGTGAAGAAGAGCCATTGACCGTGAACCTCGAGGCGTCCAGAGCCAAATTGCAAGTTACTAACGCAAGGTGAGTTCACGGTAACTAAGACCGTGAACTGAGGCTGTTGACCGTGAACGGAAATGAACGAAGCGGTGCGTTTTGGCGTCCATCTGCAATTCACAGACGCGTTTCACTGTTCACGGCCGTGAATTGAGCTCGTCTCTGGTTTAAAAGATGAGTTGAAATGAAGAGAGAGGGAGATCCCATTTGAGTTAGAAGCCTTCTTCTGATTTCTAGAGAGAGAAACACGAACTAAAGAAGAAAGAGGATAGGGTTTTGCTCCAAGGTGGATTTTGGGAAGATTTACTCCAAGGAAAGTTCAACACAAGGGCCAAGAAGGTTGGAAAACTCCTCCAAGATGGTTTCTACCCCTTCTCCTTGTGTTTCTCCCATCTCTAGCATGGAATAGAATTCTTTTCACTTGGGTGTTGTGAAACCCTAACTCTACCATGTAGTTTTCTTTTATGTGAATTGAATGATTGTCATTGGGTATTGCTTAATCCAAATGTTTGAGGTATTATTCATCTTGATTGTGCATGTTTGTGCTTAACATCCTTAGGTTTGTGCATGTTTATGCTTAGCAACCTAAGGATTGTGCATGTTTATGCTTAGCAATCTAATTAGCCACTTAACCTAGTCTAGAGAGGGAAACTCCCCTTCCAAGGGAGTCTCAATCGAGTTGGTATCCCTAGGGCTTTTCAAGTCTTCTAACTAGGTTAATTTAGGGCAAGCCTCAATATTGGATTAAGCAATTTGGTTAAGCGCGATTAAGCCGACCAACCCTTGGGTTGAGTAAGGGAGTAAGTTAACCATTGATTGCCTAAACCGAGAGGGCCTAGTGAAGCTTATAATGGCATGCCTCGGTTTAGCAATCATGAGCGTGGTCTACGACCATATTTGCGTTCCCTAGCGGTTAGCGATCACCTTGCCCATAGCAATTGATGACTCGGTATTTGCACATGTTTTCCCCTTTGTTTCTTGATTGTTTGAGCTTGAATTATAGTGTCTTTGGCCTATTTTACGCTAGGCTGTGTTCCTTTGTCATATTTCAGGTCCTAGCACATAAATTGAAGCATAGGCGCAAGTTTCAAGTCAATCAGAGATCAATTGACGATTCGGGAGAAGAAACTCGGGCATGACCTGAAGAAGAATGGATTTCTACCTCACTTTATGGACAAAGAATCATGCAAGCTTGTCATGAAAAGAAAGAGGACGATACTATGAGCGTCTGGGATCAAACGGCGACTGAT